TACCTTTGGAATCTTTTAGATTAAACTCTGCTTTCTCTTTTGGTTCACTGTAGTCTTGCTCAGTTTTCTCCAATACATCTAATAATTGTCTTTCTTCCAGTAGTATGGTTACTCTGAATTTCCAATTGTTTGTTCCAAAATTTGTAGCATTTGTCAGCTGAGGAACATTGACTATTGCATAAGCCAGTTTATATTTCACATTTTCATTTATGCTTCTTTATTTTTTGTCTGTCTGGGTGCCCATAACCTATTAGAATTTGTTCTTTCCCAGTGAGGTAATACAGAAATAGCAGTGAATGATTTGATTACTTTATTTTACAAAAGTACTAAAAACTAAACAATTGCTACATTCTAGAAAATATATTTTTTTTACAATTGACATATGACAACCGGAATCACTTAAGACATTGTGAGCCAGTGTTGCCAAGCACAAAATTCCAATAGGGCCTTCCCTTGTTAAGATTCGTGCCTTGGATTCCTTCATCGTCATTTTCGTGAGACCTATTAGTTTTTCTTGGATGCCTAATTTATTCATATCCTTAATTAGCTCCTCCCTTATTACACTGTCAAAAGCTTGCTTGTAGTCAATAAACAGTATATGTAGATCTATTCCGTGCTCGTAACTTTTTCGACGATTTGCGTTACAATGTGTATTGCATCTATTGTTGACTTACCTTCTCTGAATCCATGTTGGTATTCACCTATTTTTGTTCTAGTTTCTTTTTCTATTCTTTGTCTGATCAAATTAGTTAATATTTTGTACATTGTATTTAATAACGTGATTCCCCTGTAGTTAGTGCATTTCGTGTTGTCGCCTTTTTTAGGGATTGGTGTTATCAGACCACAATTCCAGTCGTTCTGCATGCGTTCTTCTTCCCATATTCGTTCTATTAGGTTGTGGATTCTGTGGGCTAGTTCCTCTCCCCCTTTCTTGAAGAACTCATTTATAATGTCGTCTGGTCCTGCTGCTTTCCTTGTCTTTAATCTGTTTATAGTCGCCAATACTTCGCTGTATGCGGGAGGCTCTGATTGTTTTCCATTCCTATTTTCTGTTTGTTCTTCATTTTCTGCGTTTTCAACATCGTCTTTCTTTTTAAACAGTTCTCTATAGTGTGTTTCCCATTCCATTTTTTCAATATTTGCTGGTATCTCTTTTTTTTCTCTGTGATTTTATGTATTTGTATTGTCTTGCATTGTCATTACTATTGGCTTCGAGTTCCTGCAGTAATTCTTCGATCCATTTCTTCTTTTTTGTTTTGCAGCATTTGTCTGACTTTTTCTTCTTCTCTTTATAGTGTAGGAGATCTTCTTGTTTCCCTGTGGCCACCCACCTGTGTCTTGCTTTGTCCTTGTCTTTACTAGCTTGCTCGCATTCTTCATCGCACCAATCCTTTCTTTTATTGTCTTCATATAATCAAATGAACTAGTCTCCAATAAAGCCATCTCTCAAATGCACCTCAAACTATTGACAATATCATTTTAGACTCTTCCACTAATGTGTAATATTGGTCTGAATTATCATTATGAATGAAACAAAAAAAATTAAAATATTAGAATATTTTTTGTATTACCAGCTCAACAAATCAAAATAATTTATTACATTTTTATGTCGATAACGATTTCCGAAGTGGAAATCAAAACTTCAAAATCAGCGATTTTTAATTATTATTGTGTTATTTTTCACATTTTCACATTATTTTGTGTAGAAATGCTACAAGAAAATAGTTTCAGAACCACAAAATGAAAATATGCACACAAAATATGATTAGCGCAGGTACGCACACCAGACTCCTCACAATAAACCTCTAAAATTGTAAGAATATGATAATTTTACCTCTGAGTAGTGCCTCTGATAATTGCATTTTGACTAAGTACATCTATATACAGAGTGGCCCAAAAGTTTGGAAATGGCCAATTATCTCGTGAATTGCTACTCTTAATTATACAAAATTTGAGGTACATCTATTTTGAGATACGAAACTTCCATAATTGATATTTGCAATGTTGCCAGATTTGCCGTTTCTCTTATATTATTAGTAACTTTGGTTTATCAAATGTATCACCCTGTATATTCAGTCATTATTGAAATCTCCTATTCAATGCGAGTTCAACCATATGTAACACTTATGATTTTATGTAGTCTGGAAGGTTTTAAATACAAAAAACAGTGCAAAATATGTAGATTTTAATAAATTTAAATATTTAATTGTAGCATGCTGAGATTTTGATATTTGTTCACCATTTACATTATTAACTAAAACTAACAGTAGTTGTGTTTCGAAAAGTTCTGCAAGATAAATTGCTTCTCTAAAATGGCTCTTAACGAAAAAGAACGAATTACTATTTTAATGATGAGAGGGTACGGTGACAGAAAAACATCAAAGTAGCCAACTTGTTCAATGATACTTTTCCAAACCGTTCTCCTATTTATAGGCGGTACAAAAAACTTTAAAGCGATTTGAGGAATCAGAAGAAGTAAACGATAGATACCGATCAGGTAGACCGAAAAGAGTTATGAATGACAACAAAACTTTAGATATAAGCAAAGTTTTGTTGAGATCCACATACATCCTCACGCAGGGTTGCACAAGTACATGATGTAGGTCGTTCTTCAGTCTTACGTGTATTACGTAAGAATAAACTTAAACTATACAAAATGAACTTATTGCAGGAATTAAGTGAAAAATACTTTTATCGTAGATTAGAGTTTACTGAGGTAATGATGGATAAAATTGAAAATGATGAAAATTTCGTTAACAGAATATGTTTTTCCGATAAATCAACCTTTACACTGTGTGAAAGTGTAAATCGACACAATTTAAGGTACTTGACGGTACTTGTAATGACGTAAATCCACACTGGATGTGTGAAAACCAACCTCAAACACCACAAAAATTAAATGTATGGTCAAGAATAATAGGTACTCAGTTAATTGGGTCCTTTTTTAATCGAAGGAAATTTAACGTCAGATAGTTACGAAATGTTACTTAAAAATGAAATTGTATCTACATTGAGAAACTTGTTTGGGGCCAATTTTAATTAAAAATGGTTTCAGCAAGATTGAACTCCAGCTCATTTTGTTGTGAATGATCAACGTTATTTAGATGAGATATTTCCCGGATGATAGATTGGTAGACGAGGTAGAACTGAATGGCCTTCACATTCACCTGATTTTAATCCTAAAGATTATTTTTATTGGGGATACTTAAAAATTTCAGTTTACAAAAATAAACCAGCAAGTCTTGTAGAACTAAGGCAATAAATTATGGATGAATCTCAAATAATTTCTAGATAATCATGGAGAAATCTGGTAGAGACATTTTACCATTGATTAGGGTACTGTCAACTTACAAATGGAGCACATTTTGAACACTTGATAAAGTAACCATTATGTTAAAAACTGTAATATATCAGTTGTTACGATTTAATGCAGTTAAAAATAGTTAGTAATAAAAAAATTATTAAGACAATTAGGCGTTTCCAGACTTCTATTTTATGTGTATAAGACCCTCCAGACTACATAAAATCATGAGTGTTACATATGGTTCAACTCGTATTGAATAGGAGATTTAAATAATGACTGAATATATGTGCCCGATTTCACCGACGATACCTAAATATTTAAGAATTACCTAAGCGGGCTTAGGTACTTCCTGACTCTAAAACGGATTTCACCATACGCTAAGAATTGCCTAAACCGCTTAAGCATTACCTAATGGTACGATACGTTTTGCGATCTCCCTAAACAGTTTAGGTATTACTTATAGTTAAAAGTGAGGTTATGTTTTAACAGTTTTCACGGATGTACTTTTTGTATTATTTTATATTAATTAATTGTTGCTTTGGTACTATTTATAATATGGAAGCACTACAGTTTATCGAAAATCTAGATCGATTCTATTCCTGATCTGATTCTGGAGAAGAAACAGAAAGAAGACCTCGAGTTATCAAGAATCGACCAAAGTATTTTGAAACTTTGGACAATGTGGATTTTTTTAGAAGGTTTCGAATGTCTCTCTAAACCAACAGTTTTATATGTGTTGGAACAAATAGAAAATAATATTCTACCTAACAAACTGGTATTTTCTTTTAAAAACCTATTCATGATTTCATTAAAAGTGTATTATTAAAAATATAAAACAAAAAACAATTTTCAAGATGTTTTATTTTAAAATTATTTCAATAATGACAATAGAGCTGGTGGCACTTACCTGAAATTAGATCTAGATAAAAAATGTATTATACTGTACATTGTAATCAACTCATTTTTAATTTTATTTAATATGCTCTCCGCCTATTTAATATGAAATTTACAGTCCTTTTCTTTTCCTCCATTTCACTAGACGTATATAAATAATTTAAAAAACTAAACAAGCCTTATTTACAAATAACTAACTACTAATTAAAATACCTATAACACGGCAAAACTGAATAAAACAAACAATTCAATAACAAATAAAAAAGTAAGGTTGTGACTTCTTATTCTTCTTTTTATTTATCAATAATAGTTCAAACGTACCCAAAGTAATACCTAAGAAAGAATTTCCTAGATAAGCAGTTCTTTTAGTTGTGAAACGCTAGTGTTCCTAAGTATTGACTTAGGAAGTTCTTTTCGATAAGAATTACTTTTGAAGGCAACTGTTTAGGTATCGTTGGTGAAATCGGGCAATAGGGTGATGAATTTGAAAAACCAAAGTTACTAATAATATAAGAGAAACGGAAAATCTGGCAACATTGCAAATAACAAATATGGAATCTCCTTATCCCAAAATAGGTGCACCTCAAATTTTGTACAATTATGACAAGCAATTTACGAGATAATTGGCCGTTTCCAGACTTTTAGGCCACTCTGTATTATTTCACATGATACCTGTGGTACCTTCGATAAATTTATGTTTTAAACAACCTGGTTCACAGGAGACTAAATTGTCTTGTATATTATGCAAATGAAAAATAGAACTAGAAACCATTAATTTTCTATTATTAAAAAATCACTTTACCTGCAATAACTGGGGCCAATAGTTTTGATACTTTCCAGAAAATATCTCTGGACTTTCACATAACAATTTTGTTACACCGCAAGCTACAATTTTTCTATCGACTGCTGCAGAAACTTTTTGTATTTCGGCAACATATAGTTTTTCAAGCACCTTACCAAACATTCTAAAATTCATTTTTAAAATTTAAACAACCAGAACAAGAGTATTAATAGTAAATTCAATGTATTTAATTATTAGGTATTAAATCAAAAATCAAATACAATATAGGTCACAATAAACAGTATCGAAATTAAGATGGATCATATTAACATTAATCTAGAATTAAAATCATCTGGAAAATGGTTCAAACAATCGAGGAAAAATGTTTGTAGTAGAGCTATATTTCTGCCCTTATGGAAATTGAGAGACAATGACTGAAGTTTGAAACAAGTCCCGGAAAAATAAACAATACAACTTTTAAAACCGTTAAGTAATTTCGTCATACTGGTATTCTCTATAAGCTTGTGCCTGCAAACTTAACTTCTAATTGTCGAAGAATAGTTTTTACCAACAATAATCAAGGCCACGTTCTTGATTACATCTTAGACTCCCCAAAAAGAAGGATGTGTAACAGCTTTTAATAGAGCAAAACGCACCGAACTCAAAGAGGATTGGGATTCTTACCAATCAAATCTCAGAGAGTTTAAAAAACTCCGCAGACAAAGACAATGAGCTACTTGGAACACCTTCTGTGAGGAAATCGATTTTTCGCAGGCTTCCAGGCTACAAAGAGCGCTCTCAAAGGACCCACATCGGCATATTAACGAAGGAAGATGGAAACAAAACTTCCAACCTTTAAAGTACTGATCATCATCAAACCTCAAAAGTTACAATACTTCGCACACATTATGAGGAATGAATCCAGATATGCCCTCCTACAAGCCATCCTGCAAGGAAAAATATTTGGAAAGTGAGGTACACGAAGAACATCCTGGTTAAAGAATCTCAGAACCTGGTTTACACAACATCTGTATAGCTTTTCCGCGCTGCTGCAGATAAGTTAAGATTTCCATGATGATCGCCAACATTCGTCACAGATACGGACATCAAGAAGAAGAATCCGCCAGCAAATATTGGAGAACTACGAAAAGAAGTGATAACCTATTTTTAGCGATTACAGCAAACACGGGTATGTTAATATATTTAATATTCTGCAAAACCGTTATGAAGTTGGCATTACAACGATGCGTATTTTAAACATGTTTAATATTCATTTTCGTTGCTGTTTATTTTGACTAATAGCCTAGTCTGATAAATTAAAAATAATATGATGATTAAAATAAAAGTTTACTTACTCTGCTTGAATATCGTCAACAGTAGAGATCAGTTCATTTGCTGAATATTTCACCACGTATAAGGAAAAGAAAACTATAAGATTAATTACATATTTTGTGGTCTTACTGGAGGAGAGCCTTAGAAACAAAAGGGAAAATATCCTTTTATGATAAGGCGCTAGGGCTTCCCTAAAAAGGACAATTCATGAAATTGATATAGTAAACAAACAAAATAAAAAACTAAAAGTTTTCATAATTTATAATGTGCAATGACTGATAATGATTTCGAGGTTACAATATCTATCAAACATTTCCGCTCCTTGAATGAAGTTTTAAGCAACTGGTCTAACAATATATGCAGAAGGAAATGTAATAATAAACAAACTGAAAAAAAAAACTAAATATTTATTTAAAATTTTGGTATTGTTTTATTGTATTATATGTATTTACATTTAACTCTACGACATACTTTGCATCAAGACGATATTTCCATTTCAACAGCAAAGCGAGCAAATAAAAAAAAATGATTCAGTAAAACTGATATAGAAGGTTAGGCAAACGTTAAGGAATACCTGGACAAAATAGCTATCGATAAATATTATATTCACGATATTGGACGATTCTTTAAGCGTAACTGTAATGCAAATATCAGATCATTAAGGCAACACCAAGACTTTCATCTTTTTTGATATATTTTTTACATAATTCTTTTATTATTGTTTTTTTTTGTATATTTACAATTTTTGATTTCCTTACCAAAGCCCATTTATAATCTAAATTTGCAGTGAGATATATGTTGGTAGACATTTTTTCAGTTTTTTATGACATATTTACAATTTTTTATTTTATTACGTAAACGTACTTAAGATTTAAATTTACAAGGCGTTATATATTCGTATATACATTTTAATGTCTGCTTATTATTTAAAAAAAAATTGTATTTAAATTGACAGGATTGACAATTAAGTTCAATATATATATATATATATATATATATAATATATATATATATATATATATACAGGGTGGTGAATCGTCAAACGGTCCATAGGAAATTCAATGGGAAATTCTAAGTTGTTGAATTCCTGCTTCCCTAATTATTTTACAACAAAATTCATAGGAAACTATTTGTAAAGAACTAAAATATGTATTAAAAACAAATGTTAAAATCGTTCTACGAATTAAATGTATCCCAAAATTTTGTAAAAATATAAAACATTTTTTAGGCCCACCCCTTAAAGTCAGACCACACAAGGTACAAGAATGTGTATGAGATGTTGCGTTTGGTCGTATTTATGTTTCTAATATTTGACATTATTTGAATTGCCAAAATTTTAATTTAGTGATTTATTGTTTAAAAAACAACATAGTTTATTAAAAAATGTATTCAGTCGAGGAGAAAGTAGCAATAATAAAAATGTTTTATTCTGGCAATAGTGCGCGAATTGTCAGTTCTTTATTTAGCGTAAGATATCCAATAGACCAATTCCAAGTCACTCAACAATTCTAAGGATTTTAGAAAAGTTTGAAAATACTGGGACCGTGATTTCTAATTGTACCTGTACAAACAATATTGCTGAAGTACCAAAAAATTTAGAAAATCAAAATGAAATAAATGTATTAACAGCAGTTGTAGAAAATCCTAGAATAAGTTCTCGGACCATTGCAGATCAGTTAAATATTCATAACTCTACGGCTTTAAAAATTTTGAAAAGGAATAAATTCCGTTCTTATAAATTCCAATGTCATCAAGAACTAAGAGAAGGAGATGCTGAAAGACGAGCGGAATTTTGTTATGAAATGTTAGAGAGGGCTAATGCAGACAGACAATTTTTAAAAAACATTTTGTTTAGTGATGAATGTACATTTACATTAAATAATGAACCAAATGTTCAAAATTATAGGATTTGATCGACAAAAAAGCCTGAGAATATTATTGAAAGCCATACCCAATATCGTCGAAAAATAAATGTCTGGTTAGGAATATTTAGACACAATATTATTGGACCATTTTTCTATGAGGAAAATTTAAATTCAAAAAAGTTTTTAGACTTGCTACAAGAAGAAATTTTACATAGACTTGCAGAATTAGTTCCAGATGAAGAAAAAATTTGGTTTCAAATGGATGGCTGCCCTGCGCATAATAACTGGGAGGTTAAGGAATTCCTTAAAAACAGCTTTAATAATTGTTTGATTGGACCTGACTGTAATATTAAGTGGCCTCCGAGATCGGGAGATCTAGCTCCAAACGATTATTTTATCTGGGGGCATTTAAAATCAAAAATCTATTCTGACCAAAAATTTACAGATATTGAAACTTTAAAAAGGCGAATTATTGAAGAGTGTGCAAAAATAACGTCACGCATTCTGGCTAATGTTAGACGAGAATTTTACAATCGAGTGGGATACTGCTTAGTACAAAATGGCTTATTGTTTGAACATTTGTTATAGTTTTATGTTGAAATTATCATAAATTATATAAATTATTATTAGGAAGGATCACAGTAAAACTATATAGAAATTATTTGATTGTTGTATAACCTGGAATTGAAATGGAGTGTATTATGATATCTTGTGTTAAATAAAGATCTGGCAGTGCTCGCACTATTGCCTTATTGCGATTTTTCGTGAACTGATTACATTTCATCAATTTTATTGCTTTGTAAACAGTATAATTTATTGTTTACAAAGTACTAGTTACTGTTCACTAGTAGTAGTATTTGTGAAAACTTATGCATTTTAGTATTTGTGTATGATTTAATCACAAATTAAAAATATTGACAATTCAAATAATGTCAAATAGTAAAAACATAAATATGACCAAACGCAACACGTCATACACATTCTTGTACCTTGTGTGGCCTGACTTTAAGGGGTGACCTAAAAAATGTATTATATTTTTACAAAATTTTGGGATACATTTAATTCGTAGAACAATTTTAACATTTGTTTTTAATACATATTTTAGTTCTTTACAAATAGTTTCCTATGAATTTTGATGTAAAATAATTAGGGAAGCAGGAATTTAACAATTTAGAATTTTCCATTGAATTTCCTATGGACCGTTTGGCGTTTCACCACCCGGTATATATATATATATACATTGACAATTTGACAATTAAGTTCAATATATATATATATATATATATATATATATATATATATATATATATACTGGAGATGGCTTCTTCAGTTTGACAGATGATTGTCTCAATTGTAATGTGACTTTGGGTAACAGAGTAATTGAAACCTTTTGCTAAAGCTTGAGTGGCAATGGTTGAAATATAGCCATCTCCAGTTTATCTTCCGAAGATGCTGAAATAACCAGGCAAGACATCTCTATGAGTTCTTAGAAACTCAAAGCCGCCTATTCAAAATATTAGCCAATCCGAGAAAAAAGCCCTGAAAGAACTTCAGTCAAATCCAAATCTAGTCATTCTTCAGACATCAAAAAATCTCTAATTCCTCGTGAAAAATCTTCAAGAACACCTCGAATATATGGCCTACCCAAAATTCATAAACCGATATCTCTCTTCGTCCCATTGTCAGTGCATACAACTGCCCTACACAACCCTTGGCCAAGTATTTGGCCAAAACTCTACAACCTTTCGCCGAAAATGCTTCATCCTTCGTCAAAAACTCCTTTCATTTCATCGAACTTCTTAAACAATACCCTATATCACCATCAGACATTCTACTAAGTTTCGATATTGTCTCACTCTTTACAAACATTCCAATAGATGAAACTTTAAACATTCTTAAAACTAAATACGATATGCAACAAGATCACTTATC